CCTCAGCAACATCACTGGCAGTGATTCCAACTCTGTTACAAGCATGAAGTTGTAAAACAACTGGGGCAACAACAGATGGGGCTTCGCTAACACCAGGTTTTTGATTATCAATACGCCAACAATAGTGACTGATTCAAGAACAACACCATCAAAATTAAACAAAGGGGCATATTTAAGAACAGCAACATGCGGGGCTGCATTGCCAGGGATGGCACAGTTTTCAGGCACATAAAGTAGAACATCAACAGCTTCAACGTTAACTACAGATTGAAGATCAGTAGCATCCGGGGCTACAGATTGAAGAACAATAGATTCTTTCATATTTTTTACCTAAAAATCAGTCTTTAGATTATATATGCTTCCTTGGAAAGTTTTCAAAACCTTTTATTTTGAAAGAAAAAGCCACTATATTAATTTAACCAATAATTTAATTACCTTTCATCACACTCCATCTAGCTAGACTCAATAATAAACTCAAAATGGCTACCTTTAAAGAAGCAACACGAATCAGTGACCACTAAAAGAGATACATAGAGTTCTTTTTTACCCTTAAGGTCACCGTACTCTTTACCACTTCGATAATAAACTCAAAATGGCCAAAGAGTTCCCTCGATCTCTGATCAGACATAGAAAAATTCACCCAAAATAAAGTGAAATTTTCCGTTGAACATACGGGAGATTTGAGGGAAGTAACGGTCATAAGCACCCCCAAAATACATCTAACACAAGCAAGCCAAAAACATAGTAAAAAGTCTAAAATGACATAAGTAAAGTTGGAAAGAAAAGCAGAGCAATAAAATGCATGCGGCCAGATCCAAATTTGAAGCATTTTTTCCAAACCCTAACCACCTGAACCCCATCACGGCGGCGGTTTCGAAGGGGAACGGACTGGCAATATTGCATCTCTTTTCTCACTATTCTCTTTGTGCATCGTGTTCTCCTTAAATCCGCACACTCAGCGCTGAATTAGACTTGCACCAAGCGGAAGTTTCACACCAGGAATCATAAGAAAACTTAAATTATAGGGATGTTACTGCTGAAACCTTCGAGCACACCTCAAGTGAGGTAGCCAAGCCCCTTGAACAAGATCACCTTGCCCAAAAAAACAAATCCAAATATAGAAGAATTAAATTAATAGGAAAAATCCAAAGAGCCGCACGAAAGATCGGCGGATGACAAAACCCCACACTGATGTGAGTTTTCTCGCACTTAAAAATACGTAGTAGAATATGGTGCAAGTATCGTCTCCACAGGGACGAACAAAAAGGAATTAAGAATTAACTAAATTTAGCGATAAAAATAAAATAAATTAAAATGCAATTGTGAGAGATTCGATTGGTTGAAGAATTAAAATGCAATTAAATGAATAAAACAAAGTTTGGTTTTTTTTTAATTATTGACAAAAGGGAACATAGATTGATTACGGGGTAATCAGATTTCTGGCTAATTAGGCTTAATCACATGAACATTAATTAATCGAGCAACGTAAATCAATACTAAACTCTAACCGCTCTTGCGACGTAGAATACAATAATATAGGGAACCAGATTGGTATAAAATTAAACATAAATATAGTTACTAAAATTAAACACAATTATAGTGTGCATTGTCAATAATAGTTTTTAGGGAAACTTTTCAAAGTGGTGTTTATTTCCAAAATTATGTTAAAAGTAATTTTTATTTAAACTCCATTTTGAAAGGTTTTCTCTAAAATATTGCTAAAATAAGTATTGTGACAAAAATTGACTATGGATACACTTTTACGGTCACTAAAAGTTAAAAACTCACATTTTTTCCATTATCCTTATTTTTGTTATATATAACAAATTATTTCTTTATTTAATATCGAATAATCCTTATCAGAGTTGGAAAATAGAAAGGTTGTTTAAAAACTTTTTAGAATTTTTTTAAAGGCTAAAGGGTCAAATAGGTCCCTATACCTTTCCGGATTGTTAAATTTGCCACCCGAACTCAAAAAAGCTTCAATTGACATCCTGAACTCTATAAAAAGTTTCAAATTTTACTTTTTGCAGGTCACAAGCCAGTCACCGCCACATCACCCGGTAAGGTGCCAACTGTGCATGTGACGTGGCAACTTAGGGGGTCAAATAAGCCCCTGAACCCGATCGAATCGTTCAATTTACCCCCTCAACCCTAAAAAATGTCAAAATATTTTTAAGGGTTGAGGGGGTAAATTGAACATTTCAGTCGGGTTCAGGGGCTTATTTGACCCCCTAAGTTACCATGTCACATGCACAGTTGGCGCCCTACCGGGTAACGTGGCGGTGACCGGATTGAAACCTGCAAAAAGTGTAATTTTTATATTTTTATCGAGTTCAGGGTGCCAATTGGAGCTTTTTTGGGTTGAGGAGACAAATTGAGCAACCCGAAAGGGTACAAGGACCTATTTGACCCTTTAGCCTTTTTAAAATTTATATATGAAACATTGATGTCATATGAAAGATAATTAAAAGTTATAGTTTTTGATATAATTTTTATAAAAAGTAGAGCAAAAATGAAAAACTTATCGCATCTATTTAACGTTGATGTGGGCTGCCTTTGGATTGAAAGTCGCCAAATAGTTCGGCGTTTTGAAAGTCGTCAGCTAGTTTGGAATTTTTGGCCCACTATGTTTTTTTTTTTGAAAAAAGGGTCAGATAGGGTCTCGAACTTGCAAAAAGGGAATTTTACACAAAGTAACTAAAAATGAAAGTAATATCACTTCTTTCACCTTCCAAAGTTTCTTTAAAAAATGAACTAGAAAGGATTTTCTTTTCAATAATAGACCATGACCCCTAAGCTCACATGTGAAGTTACGGATTGCAGGGATTGCACATGAAAGATTGAAAATCCATCCATGTACCAACTTTATGCTCTATAGTTACACACATAAATTTCGTAATCTAAAAAAAATCAAAAAAATAACTGAAATAAAAAGTTATGCATTCTTGAGCTAACTTAAAACTTTAAAAAGGTAAAAAAGGTAACAAAGTACAATAAATATATGAAAAAGTATAAAAAGTGGAAAAACATAAATCATTTTTTAAGTTTAAAAGGGTAACAAAATACAATAAATAAAAATAAAAAACTACAAAAAAAGAGAAAAATTATAAATAAATAAAAATTATAAAAAATATGTAAATTAAGATAAAATTGTTTTCACACTATTTCAAAATATGAACACTAGTTATAAGTATTTATTGGAAAGGCAAATATATAAAATTCTAAAACATTCGAAAAATTTAAATTAATTTTTTTTGAGTAAAATAAAAATAAAAAATAAGATTCTTAAAATTTATTAAAAATAAGAAAAATAGAGTAAACTAAAAATCGCGGAAAATTAAATAAAAGTGAAAACAAAATTGTTAAAAACGAAAAATATAAAAAATTAAAATCAGAAAAATCGAAGAAATATATAAATTTGTAATTTATTACTATTTTTTTATACAATTTAATAATTACTAGTTGTTTCATATTGTAGTTTGAGTTCCATTGTGTTTCTTTTTGTTGATAATTTTGATTTTTTGTTTTTTATTGTTTCTTAGTGTTTCTTGTGGTTGTTGATATTCAAAAATTCAAATTTATCATTTAAGTGTATATACATATGGAATTATGGGGGTTTTCACTGAAGAAGTATCTGAGATAAATATATTCCTAAATAAATATTGAAAATCAATAATAAAGAATAATAAGTAGCACGATGCAACAAAAAACTACAAATGCAATAAAGAACAACAAGATGCAACAAAAAACAACATAATGCAACAAAAAGCAACAGGATGAAACAAAAAATAATATGTGTGATACAACAAGATGAAACAAAAAACAACATGTGTGATACAACAAAAAGAAACAAAAAAACAACATGTGTGATACAACAAAAAGAAACAAAAAACAACATGTGTGATACAACAAAAAGAAACAAAAAACAACATATAGAACTATCACAATAATACACAATTCAATCCATTATTTCAATTCATTACATTTATCTATTACATCATGTGGCTTAGATTCTTCTCATTTCTTCCTTTTAAGCTGCACTTTCCACACGATTCAATAAGTCCCTCTATCTTCATTTTCCTCGTCAATCTTCACGGGCTTATGATGAGCCTACTGTTTATAGCTACATACACCTTATGCAAAGATTGAAGAATATGAAAATCAATAACCATAAAAAAGCAACACAACAAAAAATACAAAAAGTAAAAAAGAAGATGTAAATTACAGCTTGTGGTATTAAGATGAATGCTTAACCATTGATGTTGTAACACCGCCCCAAGTATTTGTACTTTATCAAATTATGTATTGAACCCTGAGAAATGAATAAACGCATTTTACGTGATTGCAAATTTTTATCATTTCTTTTACGTGAATTGTAAAAAAAATCATGTGGGGCCCACGCCGGAAGTGGGGGCCGCCCGGTAATGTCGGGACCACCTATTACATTCATCTGGGCCTAGATAATATTTATATGGTGGTGGATATCCTAATTGAGCCATGGCAATGGCATAGGGTTGACTGGTTGGTCAAACGAGGCCAAATTATCAGTATCGGCAATTTATCAGATAACAGCCCGAAAAGGGATTTCGGAGACTTCTAAATTAAAGTTGAGAAATACATATTCCTTATAAGTTACAATAAGGATTGGGAACAAGTGTTATATTTTATTTGACCCGATAAAATAAAATATAATTAAAACAGTCCGGAAAATACAACTTTCGAGACCGATTGTACACTCCGGGACACAAAGGATTGACCTCCCACGTAAGTGCGGGCCAAACCACGTTTTTAACTCTGCAAGGAGGTCAAGGGAGCCACACAAGATAATGGGAAAGGAGCAATAATTGATTGGAGGCCAAACAAATATAAAGAAATGGGACCCATCTATCACATTATTGTGAGAAATGCCAAAAAGGCATTCTCAATCACCCCCATATCCTTTATGCTCGACCCAAGCCACCAATAAAAGGGATAAAAAGCTATGCAAACCCCCATCTCTATTGTTGAAGGGAGCTCAAACAAGCAAGAAGCTAAATCAAGAAGAAAGAGTTGCAAAAGTAGAGGAAAACCTTGAGAATAAAGGTGAGAAGCTTCTTGCTAACTTTTCTCCAATCCTTTTTATCATATGACTTTCATATCATATGAAGGACCCCTAGAATTGTTCTACATGTTTAGAAGTGTAGTATGAGGGATTGGAAGGTAGTTCTAAGTCTAAGAATGGACTTAGAAGCCAAAGTGACTGGTTCACCGGAAAATAACCTTTTAGAGGTTATTTGCATTAATATGGGTTTTATGATGATAAAACCTTGTTAGTAACTTGTCTAAGGTATTCAAGGAACTATCACGGAGTTGAAAGGGTCGCCGGAGTTCGTTGAAGTTCGCCGGAGTTTCACCGGAGCTCAATAAGGAAGGCTAGAACTTCATAAGCTTCATTTAAGGTGAGAAGACAACTTTATGCATTATAAATTTTGCGTAAGGCATGAGATTACCTAAATTAATCAAGAATATGGTTTATGGATTGATTAATGGTATTAAAGCATGTGTTTTGTTATGTTAAAGAATATAGTATAGTTGGAAAACATGATTTGTAGGTTTGATCAGTGAAATCATCATAAATCGATATGTATGATGTTCTAAGGACCCAAATAGGTATTTTTGGATTAAGGACGTCAAGGAATACTTGCATGTAAAATTTCACGTTAATCGGACTCTGTTTGGGCGGTCAAATAGGCGTTGACCGCCAAGTCAACTGGTATACCCGACCGGGTACGGGCAAATACCCGACCGGGTATTTGCTGTAAATTTGTGTCGGGGGCTACTGTCTCTTTTACCCGATCGGGTATATGTAAGTACTCGATCAGGTATGCATTGAAAATTCGCCCCAGGGGGGCTACTGCCTCCAATACTCGACCGAGTACAGGTTGGTACTCGACCGAGTATTGGGGTTTTCACCCAATAGTCAGTTTTGAACGAGTGTAACGAGGGCCGTTCGGGTGGGACCCGCCCACGTTGATTATTAATGATTATTATCTGACTATAGGACTAAGTATTGTCCATAGTTAAGGGAATGAAAGGTTAGCCATACCCAGATTAGGGTTTGATAAAGAATTAGGTTGAGGTTCAGTATCCTCGGGACAGTAGTGATCCCAAAAACTCGGTTGAGGTTGAGTATCCTCGGGACGGTAAATGATCCTAAAACTCGGTTTAGGTTGAGTATCCTCGGGACGGTAAATGATCCTAAAACTCGGTTGAGGTTGAGTATCCTCGGGACGGTAAATGATCCTAAAACTCGGTTGAGGTTGAGTATCCACGGGATGGTAAATGATCCTAAAACTCGGTAGAATATTATGTATGTAGAATGTAGCTTGTGAGCTAGGCATTTGAGTATGGATGGGAAAGGTCGGGTAAGCACCTTATCTCTAAAAGACTCTTTGAATGAAAATGACTTACGAGTCAAGTATTTTTCACAAGTATATACGGTATGTATCATCTTGTAGATGGGGTAATGATGGTTACACCTATACATATGTGTATCACCCTAATTTTTGGGTCTCATGTCTGAAACATTAGTTATTCCTCATATAGCCTGCTTGTCACTAGTACTTCTATGGAGTACTGACCCCTCCGGGGGCCCTCACATTTTTCAGGTTAAGGCTAAAGTCCTACTACCTGCACCTTTGCATAGGGTGGTTGATCAAGAAGGGAGACGTGGTTCGTGCTTCCATTCTTCTGTGAAAGTTTTAAACTACTCATGGATATTTGAACAATGTTTTTCTTCTAAAACAGTTGGGAGCCTGCGTGCTCGTGTTTGCCACATGTGGCTAGTTATCAAACATATTATATTTCCGCATTTGTTTGATTATTCTATTGATGTTGATTGTATGTGTTTACTAATCGGTTTGACAATAGAATCTATCGGACGTCTTGTATAATTCAATAGGGATGAACTGTTGTTCTTATTGGGTTGTACGTCGGTTGTCTACGTGGCACGGATGCGATCCGGGGCTTGACAGATGTTGCATCATACAAAAAGTTAATCATCTATTTAGGGAGTTTTCGTTAGGAAATATGTTTTCTTATGCATTTCATATGAACATAAATGATCTTACTATCTTGAAAGCTTTAGAGGGACTAAATTACCTGAAAGCTGAAAATTAAGCTTTTTTATTTACTTGAACACTAAGGTGAGACCAATTTTTTCATACATGTTTCTAGCTTCGTTTGGCATGCCAATGATTTGTTATTACTTTAATCACTTGAAATAAAAATAAAGTTCAGAGCAAGCAAAAATGAGAAGAGTAAGGATTATACACAAGGATATACAAATTTGTATAGAGAACTGTAATGGATAGCAACTTAGGAATGAGTCTTGATAGATAGAGCGGAGCTGACTTTATAACATGCAATAGGTGATGAAAGAAGTGCATGTATTGTATTGTCTCAAATGATCAATGAATTGAAGTGTAATTAAAAAAGTTATATAATACATCAACCATTGTTCTAGCAGAGGCATAAAAGCAACTCTGTACAAAGCAAAAAGTTACATAATACATGCACCATTGTTCTAGTTTTTTAAATAAACTAACTCAAATATAATCGAGGGAGGAAATTGTCACTATGAGAAAAGACAAATATAACAAAATTATTGATCTTTAAGTTGTCTTCTACTATTAGCTCCAGCCTGATTAGCATTAGATAAGAACAATAATGACAAGCAAGAGAACTGCTGAAATTGTTAGACCTTTCATGGACAAAAATGAAGAGGACTGGACAAATTTTAGCAGACATGCCCAGGATCCTATGTACATTGCAAAAAGGAATATATTAAAGTAAACCAAACAAAATGAAGCATAATATTGTCAATGTAATGTCAATACGGAATTTTGATGTATATCATTTATGTCCGTATCACTTTCTCTTTTCACTATTAACTTTTCTGTTTTCAATTTTGGATTTTTATCACTAACGAATATAATGTCAATGTAAATAGTAAAAAAAATGAAAATCAATAATAAAGAACAATAAGCAACACATTACAACAAAATGCAATACGGTGCAATAAAATGTAACAAGATGCAACAAAAAGCAACACACCCGATGCAACAAAGAGAAACAAAAAGCAACATATAAAATTATCACAAAATATGCATAGTTCAATCTATTATTACAATTCATTACATTTATCTATGACATCTATGGCTTTTGATTCTCCTCACTTCTTATTCCTTTTATGTTGCTCACACAATTTATCAGATTTGTCCACTTTATCTTCATTTTTCCTTGTCAAACTTTCTCATCCTTACATTTGCATGTACGTTTTTATTGCGTGCCTGCAATAGGGAATGCAATCACTATGACACAAATACTGAATTGAATAAATTATTACAACAAACCAATAAACCTATATAGCAGAAGCAGAAAAAACATCCAAATCGTTGACATTGATGTCAATATCAAAATCAAGCCTACATCTTGTGCAACACAATCATACACAATCTAAATTTAATTATACCAGAATAATCTGTGAGCATCTTAAATACTTGTAAAGTCAGGATAGACCACTTTCAAATGAAGAAGAACAATGCAACAAAGGAAGCAGATTAACCGTATCAAAAGAAGCTGATCTTCTATTTGTGGTAGGTTTCTGAACCTCAATTTTCAACATGCAAGAGACACGGAAAAAATCGGTCTAATTTACATAATTAAACAAAAGGTGTAGTGAAGTGAAAAAAGCTATAGCTACATTTGAAAATATCAGGTAAAGTTAAATCTAAGAAGAAATACTTGATAATTGAACTTACATTAGGATTAAATACTAGATTCCATCGCACATGAACAGTACTGCAAATACGAATCTGCGATCTAGATCTAAACGCAAAAAGCTATAAACAACGCAATAAATCCAAGTCAAATTGAAGATATAGTGATCAAATACACACCGGAGCAGCAAAACAAGCAGGGCGGGGGGCGGAGGCCGAAGGGCGGAGGGCGGATGCCGAAGGGCGGAGTCGGAGAGCGCAAGGCGGAAGGCGGAAGGCGGAGACCGAAGAGCCAAAGCGAGAGCAGAGATCGGAGAGCCAAAGCGAGGTCATAAGGATGGAGGAAGAGTGAGGAGTCGCACTGCTAGTCATCGACGATCATTATTCTGGGCTGAGACAGTGATTTAGGATTTAGGTTATTTTTGAAATAAAAAGTTGTAAGTGAAAATATGAAAGTTATAATTGAAAAGAAAAACTCTTGATGCCATAAACGAAATATGATGGGCGAAATGGCTCATCCAGGTAATTACCACTACAAAGAAATAAAGATAATTTGGGTATTGGGTTGCACCATTCTAATTGGGCTTAAAGTCAAGCCCAGTTTCAGGCCTGGAATTCCCTTAACACGATTTTCAATCTAACTTTGAAAGTAACCCTGTTTGGGCCAGGTTTTTAACACCTCAAATCAAGAAGTACCGAAGGAACACAAACGAATAATACTATATGGGCAGTCCAGTAATGTGCGTAGTGGACAGGATGTTAAAGGTCCACAGTTTTTTTTTGGGTCCACAGCTTATTTAAATAAATGTCTCATGGGTTATACACATACCATATACTATACCAAATTGCGAATTTGTTTTTGTTTTAAATGTCCAGTTCACCTACTTGTAAATTTCAAGAGATAATGTATGCTTTGTAATTAATTAATCAAACTCAAAACAGTAAAGATTACAACGGGGTTGTAGATTATCGAATTGAACTAAATAACTTTTTAGTCTAATCCAAATTATGGGAGCTTGACAAATACAAATTATAAATGTGAAAAATTCAATTTTAGTAGGAAAATGATTATATACTACCTGTGGTTTATTACCTGTTTCATTTTTTGAGAAGTTCATTACTATTTGCTTCATTTCTATATTTCACTAACATATGTCTTACCTTTTTATTCTCTCTTTTATATTATTTCTATTTTTATAATGTATTTTAAACTTTTTCATTCGCTCTCTATTAGTTTTATACTACTCAAGGCTCCTATTGATTTACTTCGTAAACTCTCAAAAGTATGATACATTTACTAATAATGACATACATAATTAGGATTTTTTTTATGTAAGACCAAAACATGACACGTTTTGGATATGCAAAGTTGATTACAGTTACTAATATAGGAGTAATTCAATTCTAAAATAAATTAATAATGAATTTATTTTTGAAGTTTTTCCTAAAATAGTACTAATATAAAATGTATGAATAAAAATGTGACTTAGTAACTATTAGTGTCTATAATTGCGTTCAATGTACAACATCATATTGACTACATGTAGTCACTAATATTATTTACTAAGTCATATTTTTGTGTATCACTTTTCTGGGAGTAACTATTAGTGACTATAATTGCGTTCAATGTGTAAAATGAGGATCACCACATTAAATAAATATTGTACGAATTAAAGAGCTACTGAACTAAACACCATCAAATTTGAGCATGAATTGTTTATTTTAATATGGGGTTTCCCTTTTCCCAAAATTTCATGAGATAAATGCAAAAAAAAGTTGAAATAGAGGATCAAGATGTATATGGTTTTTATCTACGTTGTTAAAACCGGACCAGGAAGCGACCCAGACAAATTACCAGGTCAAGTGTCAACCGAGACCCAAGAGGGTTAGCTCAGTCGACGCAACTCAACCTGTTAAACGGTGGTTAAAATGAAAACAAAGTATGTATAATTATATATGAAATTAAGTTATATGGTAAAACACTACTCACGTTCCAGATTTAATAATGTTGATAAGAATAGAAAATGAAAATAATATACCAAAATACTATGTATAAAGTTATTTTACAAAGTTCAAATTAAAATGTGTTTGAAATTAGATGGATAATATGTGAACATAATGCTATATAAAATTTAAAAAGATTGTATAATATATTTGGTAGATATTTTGTACATTACAGAATTGATATTGAAACCTATGATGACTATTATTAATAACAAGTAAAGTCATAAGCTTCAAAGTTTTACAGTAATAAGAATTAAAAAGATTGGTTTTGGTGTTTGCGGTCATTGAAAGTGGTTGTCACAACAAACAAAAAGGGTGGGCGAGTTGATGTTGTCATCGACAACTTGAGACTGTTTACTCTCACTCACTAGATTTTGGGGGTGGATGGGTGGTAACTAAACATAAAGTGTATAAAAAAAAAGTGTATGTATGGTGGATGTGGTCACTGGCACTGGAGGCTAGGCAGCAATGAAGTCAATAACAATTTTCACTGGCGATGATCACAACTGTGATGGAAGTCACAAAAAAATTGTGACCTTACAGTTACACAACATGGGAGGTGTAACCAGCAGATCAATGACATTATAGTCTCTAATTATGGCGGTAGCAATAGAGTAGCGGCGGAAAGGCGAATGCAGTTGGTGGAGTAAATACAAGTATGTTATACAAGACATAAAGATATATTAAGACGTTAGAATGGCTGAACCCTAGAAGCCGAACCCTAGCGGCAGAGTACATGTTGGACGCATAGTCTATATCGATCGATCGATTGCGGCAAGGCATGTAATCGCGGTCTTCGAATGCTCTCCGGTGTCAAGTTTCTTTTTTCATTTTGTTTGTTTTGTTTTTGCTTCCAACTATTATTGGCATATAGGCTTTGCTTCCCGTCGTTGGTTAAACGTTTTCTTTTGGCCGTGGTTTTGTATGGGTTCGATTTGAATGGGTGTTTGTTCTGAGTGTTGAGCTCCGTCGAAGGGTGTTGTCTTCCTTTTTTCTTCGTGAGGCTTGTGAACTGTGTTTTTTTAGTCTAGTAGCAATTTTGTAGGTGTTTGTGTGTGGGCGGTGTTGTAGTTGGTTTTGCTTATTGACCGTCGGTTAAAGTATTATTGGAGTTTGCTCTTGTTGAGTTTTCACCATGGATGTGCTTGTTAAATCTTACAGTAAGGTCAATATCGCTGAGGAAGAGAACAAGGTTTTGGTTTTCAAAGCAGACTCGATAGGGAATGATGACGGGGCTGACGAGAGAGTTTGTCTCTC